GACTATATTCTCCCAGTATTACACAGGCTTGTTTAAATGTTGTGCAGCAAACTTTATGGTTTGATTTCTTTGTATTATGGATCACTTGGGTTGTTACCAACATCTGGTGAAAATTTCATGTCATTAGCACCTCTAGTAATATATTTACTGAGAAAAATGGTGACGTGTTCAATACTTATTTTACCTGCTGTAAATGTAATAAGTATGCACATTTGCAGCTGTGATGGATTGTGTACAAACTAAATAGTATCAGACTGGTTTAAATGTATACTTCTMATCCAACCACAGTTAAATTCACCTAATCCAGGAGGATATTTTTAACAAGCTGTAATAAAATAGGATTAATGACTTTCTAGTTCTTACCGTTTGAAAAAATATAATAAGTAGGAAGTAGAGAAAACTGTGGAAAAATAAAAGGAATAGAAGTAAAAAAGTAGGCTGAAAAATAGTTRCACTAGTAAAGTACAGATAGCCAAAATTTCTACTTAACAAAGTATTTGTACTTAGGTACTTTACAACTGTTAGGGTTAGTTAGGGTCAGAAGGACTGGATATTAAGCAGGACCACTTTCTTCCATCTGTAAAACTAAAATTAGAAACATCTTGGTCAAAAATGTTGCAGAAAAACTGATTCATGCGTTTATCACATCTAGACTGGACTACTGTAATTCTTTATTATCTGAGTGTCTGAAGTCTTTAAGAAGTCTTCAGCAGGTCCAGAATGCTGCTGTGTTTGCAGGAGAAGGATTTTGCAGGGGGCGACTCGTTTCAGTCCTTGGAGGAGTTCCTGGTCATCCTAGGGGAGTCGGCCGGGGATCAGAGCGCGGACAGGATCCGGCTGGAGTTCAACAAACTCATCCTYGCTCTAAAGAAGTCCCGGGACAACGAAAAGAGGCTCATGTCTAAATGTAGAGATCTGAACGCAGAGATCATGTCCACTTCAGCTAAAGTGGCAGCAGCTGTGAAACTGTCTCAGGAAGATGAAACAACAATAACGTCACTAAAGATGGTATCAAATGTTACGCTTCTGTTTGTTTGACTGCTTCTGTCAGTGTTTTCACTAGGTTCATGTTTTCTGATGCATCTCAGTAATCCAGGTAGAAAAAAAATCAAATTAGGTTCATGTTTGTTAACAAAATATCTCACCACTCACTGGACTCTTTTATTAAAACTCTCAGGAAGTAGTCTTTCTTGGCTGGTGCACCCTGACTTTGGAGATAAACCAAATTAAGATGGCCACTGAATGTAGCTAACAGAAAAATAGCTGCAACTCAACCCATTTTACCAACATTGGGCCTCATGCAAGAACCGTTCGTACGCACAGATTTGTTCTTAAATTGTGCGTACGAGTGATTTAGGAGAATTTGTGGCATTCACCA